GGGGTGAGGAAGAAGGGCCGGAGGGGACGGGAGGTGCCGGAGGAGGTGCCGCCCCTTCACACCTCGCAGAGAACCACCGGAAAATCCACGTGGATCCGTGGGTGATCCAGCTTCACAATTCCCTGTGGGGAGGAGCCGGAGGGAATCGAGGAGGCAAGGCAAAAAAAAAGCAACAACAAACTATTAGCATTTATTACTCGGACATCAAACATTCTGCTTTCACAACATCTGGGGCTCTTCTGCGAGAGCGCACTCGGCGTATGGCCACAGACAAAGGCGGGTGAGCTGCACGCAAACACTGGGGTCAGCTCAGGCGGTCTCTACCAGGCCGCCCCCCCTCGTTAGAGCAGCTGTGATCTGTCATCGCCCCGTCTCCAGCAGGCGGGACCGTCCCCATCCCGGATGGGCATTACAGCACAGCCCGGGGGCCCTCACCCCTCTCCCACCAGCCCCGCCCCAACCCCCAACTGCCCCGCCCGCCCGCGGCCCCCTCACCCAGCCCCCCGGCCCACCTGAGGTATGAGGTTCTTCTGGATCCTCTTCAGCTTCGCCCTCTTGCGCCCGTTCTTCGTCACAATGGTCTCCTCGTAGAACTCGTGCGCCAGATCCCCGTCCTCATCGTAGTACAGAGAGCTGCAGGAGGGGGGGAGAGGGGGAGACGTGGGACTGTCGTTCTGTCGGGGTCACAGACACGTCCAGGGGAAACGCAAACAGGACAAGGAAGGCGCGCGGGGGCCAGGCTCAACTTCTCCGCAGCCGGGCCTCGTCGCACAGTCCGATGCCGAGAGGCCGCAGCACGTGCCCGGGCCTCTCCCGAGAGATCACAAAAAAAACGGCATTCCATTTAAACCCCCTCCCATTTCCAAAGCTGAAGGTTAAACTGCATTCTAGTTTCAGTCAGTATAATTCAGAAGGTGAAGGCAAAGGAGGCAGTGGAGTTTCGGCGTGTCTCCAGCGACAGCTGTCTCAGCGTGGCTTGAAAACACAGCACCCTTTCGTGAGACCGTTAGCTCCCTGGGGTGGAGCAATTAAAAGGATGAAGCAATAGCTATTTGTAGAAACCTCTGCGTTTTATCACCGCTGTTAAGGAGAAGCGTTACAGTGGTTAAGGGGTGACTCAGTGCTGTGTGTGCTGCCAGTTTGTTGGACAAGAAGACAAACTGCACACTGGTGTCCCTTCAGCAACTGTCTTTCCAACAGCCACGGGAAGGATCTCCATGAACTGCCAGGTCTCGCACAGGGGCCCCACTGAATCACAGGGTGGCACTGCGCATCAGAGGCGTGCTCCTATTTCGACTGCTCAAACGCAGACGCGCATTTGAGACACGTCAGGGGCTATAAAAAAAGAGCATTTTCTCTTAACACCTGAGTGATGCTGAGTGCCATGCAACCCAAGTCTGCAATGTACTTGAATACTTTCCCAATGAGTTGATTATTTACTCTACAGTATAGGACAGAGTCCTAGCATTGCACGGCGTTACTTATATAATCGTTTCACGGTCCGTATGCCGTTTTTGTTTATGCATGAAACACATGTCGTACAGCATGTTGCACCGTTTGCTGCTTCAGCTGCCCAACTCATCTACGGGATGAATCCGGTATTGCAAAACGAGCTGAACTTGATCTGCACCGAACCGGACCGAACCGAGCGCGGGTGTTTACCTCCGCCTCGTGAACACGAACGGGGTCGCGCTCCGGGCGCCTCGCAGCCGGGCCAGGGACTGCTCGTGCCCGCCGCCGGCCGCGTCCGGACCGGTCCCGGACCCGGCAAAAGGCCAGAACCCCCTCGATTTGGAGCCGCTGCCTCCCATCTTCAGCGCCGGAACATTATTTTCCCAGCCCGGACGGACGGACGGAGTCAGTTGGGAGGGGGGCCGGGGAGGGTGATGAAATGTTCGCCGGACAACTAACTCCCTCGATATCCTTTATTATACCGGATGTGTCGGAGTCCTAATGTTCCACAGAATGACATAAATACAAACAAAAAAAAAAGAACAAATCACTGCACACAGAATCAATCACGGACACTGCTCTACTACAAACAGCCCGTGCACAAATTCTTAAATAACACAGGAATCGTTCCAATATCCCCGCTCCTTCCACACCAACCCCCGTGCTGTCATTCCACGCGTGGATACCCGTCTAACCCTGCTACGACGGCGTCGCACTAAAAATCAAGCACTTGAGATTTACTCCAACAGCGGCAAGATTCCTGCAGAAGATCCCTGCTCCCAGAAGATCCCTGCTCCCGTCAGGCGGCAGGCTTCGACCATGCCCTCGTCATTTTCAATGCATTTTCGCTTTGACAATGACAAACTCATCGCGGTCCTCCGTCCAGCCCATGCAATGCAGTAGTTTGTTGGTATTTTTTTTTAAATCTACCCCCACCCCCACCACCCAGACAGTCTACGTCTGCTCACAAGTCATCATCGGTCGAGGGGGCCCCGGATTGTTCTAGCTTCTCGCCTCCCGGCCCGTGGCCCGTAAAAACACTACTTTCAGTATGGATGTCATTATTACCATCATTTCTCCACCCGCAACCCGCTCTCTTTAATGTCATTGCTTTTATCTGTGCCGAGCTGGGGGGATATCGTCCCCCAGTCTGTTGCGGGGTTCCTGACGCCCCTGTACCTGTGGTTTAACCCCAGAGCTGATCGCCTGCCCCCCCACAGAGACAGCAGGTCAAATATCACCAACCTGCCCCTCGCCGACAGCCAGTTATTTCCCGTTACTGATGTTTAGCCAGACACGACTGACACCATGTCTTTCCCAACATTGTCCTGAGCCGGGGTCTTCCGGTAGTCCGAAAAGCTCATTCGAGTCGGGAGGCCCCGTGATTCGAATGAAACAACTCTTTCCCCCACCCCCACAAATGGAAAAAATTAAATAAAAAAGCTGATCTTTACTTGAAGTTTTATTCTTTCTTTTTTTTTTGGCCAAAACAGTCTGCACTACAACCACACACACACAGCAACTAAGCCTACCTCACTTCCGGCGCCAGATTTCCCCTGTCACATGACGAGGGAGAGCGCCCATAGCGGAATGACGCGTCTGTCTTTGGCTTTCTTGAAACAGAAAAATGTCATGCTTTCCGCAAAGTGTTCCTTACTGCCTTAGCGGTGAACAAGCTTTTGATTTTTTTTAGAGTGGTCATTCATATTTGGTTCTCATTTCTTTCTGTGCCAGCCCACTGAAGCTCAGCAGGTGTGAACCAGGTCAATACGAGGATGAGACACCTCCTGGGAAAAGCTAAGGTTGCTGCTGGCAGAGCTGTTAGTGGGGCCAGCAGGGGGCGCTCACCCTGCGGTCTCTATACCTAATGCCCCAGTATAGAGACGGGGACGCTATACTGTAAAAAGGCACTGTCCTTCAGATGAGATGTAAAGCTGAGGTCCTGACACTCTGGTCATTAAAAATCCCAGGGCATCTCTCGAAAAGAGTAAGGGTGTTACCGCAGTGTCCTGGCCAAATCTCCCCCTGGCCTTTACCAGTCATGGCCTCCTAATAACCCCCCTCTCTGAACTGGCTTCATCACTCTGGTCTCCTCCCCACTGAGAGCTGGTGTGTGGGGGGTGTACTGGTGCACTATGGCTGCTATTGCACTATCCAGGTGGGGGTGGAGGGGATCCACACTACCTGTAAAGCACTTTGAGTGGAGTGTCCAGAAAAGTGCTACAGAAGTGTAAGGAACTAATATTAATAGCGCAACTAACGCACCAACCATATTATGCCCGACAATAGTACAGTTCACTCAACACACTTACACTGTAAGCTGCAATATGTTTTGCCCACACCTTTGTTTTTTGCAGTAACCTCCTGGTATGGAAAATACAATTTTACTCATCGATTTTGTTTGGCAATACCAATAATGTTTTTTTTTTTATTTGAATTATTAGCACTCAACTTTAAATTCATAATTATAAGAGCATAAAAAAGTGACAAGAGAGGAAGACATTCATACTCTTAACTCATTTGGTGGTTTCGCGCTGTGGTTATCGGACTCGGTCGTGTCGAAAAACTGTTTTTCCACTGGTTTTCACTTTTCATAGATGACTTAATTTACTTAATTTACTGGGTAGCTCGCAGTGGGGTCTTGGGTTCAATTCTGGACCTGGGGTGCTGTCTGTATGGAGTTTGTATATTCTCCCCGTGTTCATGTGGGTTTCCTCCAATTTCCTGGATTGGCTATTGGTATTCATGACGCTCTTATGATACAAGTTAAAAGTTTAAACAAGCATCCATCCATTTTCTAAATAATTTTAATCCAACCCAGTTGCTTTCTTCGATAAGAAACGGCTATCAAAAGGGAATGGTGAAATGTGTTGGTAGCTGGAGTTCTCATCTTCTCAATATACAGCAGGTTTGTCCTTCAACTTTCTATATCCCTTGAGGAAAGTACCAAGCAGATTTCCAATCACCCGTCTTTCTCATGCTTTGGAGAATCAGCAGCCCGAATACTGGGGACTTGTCGTAGCGTCATCTGTGAACTCCGGACACACTTCTACCTGCTGTATGGAATAAAAACCCAAGACATTTTTTTTACTGGTTTAATTCATTTATTGTGCAGTCATTCTGGCAGGTTTACATTTTGCATTATTTCAGGGGTGTGTAAACATTCTCAACTGGCTGTAGAAAAATAGTTAACACTGAAGCTCATGTCCCCAGTTGGAAATCTGCTACCCTGCCTCTCCCCCTCACTTCACTCAGGGCAAAGATGAAACCACTATTCCCAGACTGTGACAGCTGTCCAGGAAGGGGACAGAAGAACAAAACAGAGGGCTGATCCCTTGGAGAACATCACATTTACAAAGACAGGAACAAAAACAGGTACAACAGTTTGGAAACGGTAC